AAGTGATGTCAACATGATTAATTTCATTGCATGTTGAGCAGATGCCCACGTAATTTTTTTCATGGTAAAAGGTAAGTTGAGCAGGTGCCCAGATAATTAACTTTTTGTATGTTGAGCAGGTGCCCAGATAATTAACATTTTTGGTATGTTGAGCAGATGCCCAGATAACTTTTTTGTATTTTTGGTATGTTGAGCTGGTCCCAGATAATTGAGTTTTTTTTATGTTTAGTAGGTGCCCAGAATATCGATTTATAGTTTTGTATGTTAATAAGAAGAGGCCCAGATAATTGCTTTATATTTTTGCGTGTCGAGCAGCTGCCCAGATAATTTTTTTTTGTATAGTAAGCAGGTGCTCAGGTAATTAAAGTTTTTGTATGTTGAGCAGGTGCCCAGATAATTTAAGTTTTGTATAGTGAGCAGGTGCCCGTATAGTAAGCAGGTGCTGATATAATCACTTTTTTTATATGTTGAGCAGGTGCCCAGATAATTTACTTTTTTGTATGTTGAGCAGGTGCCCAAATAATAGACCTTATGATGCTGGTGGTGGATATTACAAAGGGGATGCAGACACAGACAGCAGAATGTTTAGTGATAGGGGAGATTACTTGTGATCACATGATCATTGTCCTTAATAAAGTGGACCTCATACCTCAGGAAAAAAGACAGGCTCAGGTGGACAAGGTACTTAGATAAACGGTGAACGGTGAAGTATATGACCAGAGCTGTGGAAAACTTTTTCAGATAGCCAGTCATTCGGACCGCCAAGAAGACATAATATGTCGGTCCGAAGTGATTTTTGCCGGTCCGAAATAGTAAGTTGCAAAATTAAAAAGAAAATAACATGTATTTTCTTAATTACACTTTACTTAATGATAATAATTAGTCTCCATTTCCAAGTCCTCTTCGGCATGTTCCGTTTTTGTTTTTTGCATTTATAACAATACTAGATTTCATCACTTTTGGGCAAATGACAATGATAATTCTGCATAGTAAAAGTAATTTTTTTTAAACATTAATGCCTTTGGAAATTATATTTTACCTCAAAAATGAGTCTAAGAAATTCTGAGCATGGATAATAAAGATACCAACATCATGAACATGATCGATAAAAAAAAGAAATCTGGAACAGTCGAAACGACGGCCATACTGGGTTTACCGCTTTACTCAACTGTGTTTGAATATTTTCTGTCGTATTGTTTTACATATTTAGCCTGTCTTTATCTTTTTTTTATGTTTTCCACCTAATTCTGTCCCATTTGTAAATCAATAAGGTTACGCGAGACAATGCTGGTTTCGCTTTCATTTTCTATAGCCTCGATCTCGTGCAAAGAAAAAGTATTGCGTAATCGTATATAAGGTACGATAATTAAGCTGGGAAGTGCGCCGATGATAGGCCTAAATCGAAATGGAAAAACAAAAACCTTTAACAAAGAAAGAGGTCGGTCACGTGGACCGACATCGATAGCATTTTTACCGGTCACGGGCATTTTTTGCCGGTCTTGCCGGCATGACCGGCAGTTTTCCACAGCTCTGTATGACATTGATAAAGGTCCTTTATCAAAATATTAACCAGAATTTTAACCTCAAAGACCATTTCCTTATGTACACAGGCACTATTAAAGGTGTTTTAAACCTTTCTCTTCATTGATAAAAAATCTAACTACAAAGTATTTTTAAATTTTTATCAAAGAAGAAGTTTAAGGTGTCAATTGTCTGTGCTTCTGTGTAAAGCACCAAGACTTAATTGGGTTAGTGCTAACATTTTTGCACTGAAGAGTTGGAAAAAGAACCATCCAACAACTTTATCCTTTGGAAAAGGAAGACACAATGGGATTTTTTTCACTTTGGTGCAATGTTTACCAAGTCATTCATAAATCTTCTAATATTTACTCTTTTAAAGTGTTGAGGAAAGATTTAGAATTTAGAAATAGTTTGCAATACATGTTTTTTTATATATTTTTTTATTTCTCTCAAATCTTCCATATAATTTGTTTTCTAAACCTAAATTGATGATGTAACACAGATATATTTAAATTATATGAAATGAAAAATTATTGTTACTTAAACTGAATTTGATGAAACAGATGAAGAAGAGAATGCACAAGACTTTAGAGTCCACAAAGTTCAGAGGATGTCCAATCTGTGCTGTAGCCGCCAGGCCCGGGGGCCCTGAGGTAACAATTATCAAAGTTATCTTCAGTATATATAAACTGATTTGACAAAATGAAATTTGTGATGTTTATTTCCTAAATATGACATAATGTTGAATGTTTCATTTCAAGTAAGATATTTTAATTTTTTTATTTTAGGGAGATGGCTCTGAGGGTCTTGGTGTGTCTGAGTTAATTTCTGTGTTAAGTGACAATACATACCTCCCCAAACGAGAGAGTTCCGGTCCATTTATTTTCTCTGTGGATCACTGCTTCTCAATTCGAGGACAAGGAACAGTGATGACTGGCACCACACTGAGTGGCTCTTTGGCAGTGAATGACGTAAGTTTTTAAAGGGAACCAATTGACTTTCAGTCTCATTTGAACAAATAAAAAGATGGCAGGTTAAAATTAAAGATATTTGCATCAAAAGGTTTATTGACAAGGTCATTGAGATAGGCATTGATAATTTGTGAACTTCATGAATTAAGTATCTAAGTAGAAATGCCTCCTTGAAAAATAATCTATTAAAGAAAGGGTTGATGGATCTTAAGTTGTCCCCTTTGAACTGCTGCTGTATCATTTAGTGGACAGAATCTTGAATCTTGAGCGTACATTACATGCATATACATTTCACTTGGATACTGGTGCATTAAATACCATGGAAATGGTGTAGGTTTGAGCAGATCTAGGTGCTTGCATAACAACATTGTTGACAAATACATAATATTTTCACAATTCCTCATTTGATGTGTATTTCTAACAGTGTCTTCCTCCATTCATTTACAGAGCATTGAGATCCCCTCCATGAAAGTGACAAAGAAAGTGAAGAGTATTCAGATGTTCAGGAAACCTGTGGAATCTATTCTACAGGTAACATACAGATAATTCTTATTAAATGAAATGAATCCGAGACAAATCTCAAAATCCTTTTCAAATTATATTAAGTTTTTTCAGATACCGAGTTTGGATACTACTCCAATATTCTAGACAGAGATGAAGATCTTCTACTTCATGTAGCTACTGTTTTGTACCACAAGTAGGTGGTATATTGTACTACATGCAGTTGGCATTGTATGCTAATTAGCTTGAATTTTGCTTTTCTTGTAGCTGGTATCTTTTAGGACAAGTAGCTGGTATCTTTTTGTACTGTAATGTCATTTGTCTGCATCAGAACACTGAACTGAGCTGTTTTATTTTTGTTTTTAGGGAGACAGAGCTGGGATATGTGTGACACAGTTTGATCCCAAACAACTGGAGCGTGGCCCGATTTGTATGCCTGGTGCCCTGCCCACAATAAGTGGAGGGATTGTCTGTGTAGAGAAGATAGGGTACTACAAAGGGACAGTGAACTCCAAGGCTAAATTCCACATCACCTCTGGCCACGAAACTGTGATGGGGAGGGTGACATTCTTTGGGTTGTATGAAGGACCGTCAGCGGAGGACAGCAGAGAGTTTAATTTTAATTTGGATTATGTTTATCAGGAACAACTAATTGCCAAATCAACAGGTGCTGAGGAATCTGGATCCAAACATCCAGTCCAACAGTACGCAGTCATTGAATATGAGCGACCTATCACATGTCCTGAACACTGCCTTGTAATTGGTTCAAAGCTGGACACAGATATTCATGCTAACATGTGTAGACTGGCATTTCATGGCAGACTTCTGGTTGGGTTTAAAGACACTCAGTACCAGCAGACAATCCTGCCAAAAGTCAAGGTGTACAAAACTAAAGTCCGGGAGGGACTGGTGGAGCGATGTAATGATGAGTACACAGTCATCGGTAAAAACCTGTTTAAGAAGGAAACTAACATTCAAACCTTTGCTGGCCTGAAGGTGGCGCTGTCTTCAGGAGAACAAGGGGTGATAGAAGGGAGCTTTGGCCAGAGTGGGAAAGTCAAAATCAGAATTCCAGGTCAGTCAATTTATCATGTAACATTCTGGTATAAATAAATCTTTGTTTTAAATGTACAAATAAAATAATTCTGCCAGTGGACAGTGGACTGTAAGTAACATGTTTCCAAACTTTTTACTTCTATTCCTTTCTTTTCTGTAACACATACCATATACTTGGTAAGTTGAAGTTTCAGCAAGAAGTAAATTTTAGTGATTTATAGTTATATAAATTGGTATATAATTTTTGTGAAGTATTATTAAAATTTGACAATATAGATGTAAACATGTATCTTAAACATATTAAAGGTAGCCTAACCTTTTAAGTGTGGAATAAATTGTTAATAATTTAATATTTAATTTTATGGATCTCCACCCCTTTGCTAATACATTTTTAATGCCAAAATTGAATTCTCGTTAAAAATTCTGCTTATATCATATTGTAAGATATCAAGATTTTACTGAACCAAATTATGAGTATGTTCTCTGTTATCTAGCCATATTGTCTGTAACTATACTCTTTTTGTTATTTGTATAAGAGAGTTCATTTATATTGTAGAGGGAGTCAAACCAGAAACTTATCAAAGATACAGTGGTGGATCCAAGAAAAAAGGGTTTAAAACAGAGGAAGTGCCATCTGATCATCAACCAATCAAAATTAGTTTAACATTCAAAAGATATATGTATGATCCTGAAAGAAAGATGAAACAGACATAGTTATTGGATGTTTTCCTAAATTTTATGAAATTTCATCATATAACCCAGACAATTAAATTCTGTGATCAAATAGTAAAATAAATTTTAAATAACTAATCCAATAAATATTGCAATCAAATGAAAAAGTTGATATTTTTTCCAGTAATACATTTTATCACTGATTCATTGTTAATACATGTATGTATATATTAAGACAATAAATCAACAAATCTCAGGACTTTATATGACACAACAACAAATGAGTTTATATTATATCAATCCAATAAATGTTCATGCCATAGTCTGTCGTTACAGCAGATTTCTGAGTGTTTGACACATAATTAAGGTAACCAATGTACCTGGCCATAGTGTGGTGTAACAGGAGAAACGACTTTTGTTGTCTGGTATTCCTTTCCATGTTTATCGGTTGCTATGGTGATGGTATACCGGTATAATTTATTACTTTGGGACTATGTCTCTGCAGACTCCTGTAGTGGTTCAACTGAGTTATAATGTTCTCCAAGACCAAAAGCATGTCTCTGGTACACAAGTGTCACAGGGTCACCTTGACAATCATCACCTAGTGTTACTGGAGGAGTGTCACTCTGAAGCACTGTGATTGGTTGATTGAGAACATGTGACAGTGCCTTGATTTCTAGGTGACCTCCCCACACTGTTGTTGTTTCCAGTTCACAACAGTACTTGTCAAAATCAGACTCTGTAAAAAGCTCCCCACTATCTGTTGTCAGAAAAGGAAGGAAGTCATCAGCATGTTCTGAAAGAAAAAGACAGATTCTCAAGGGTTACGCTAAGAGACTGTACAATTCCCACACTAATGAACTGTTGTTAATCTATACCACACAAAGGCTGTTGACCTATATAGTGTTAAGTTGCTGATTATTTCTGTATTGTGGAGATTCACTTCTCACATAGATAGCAGTCAGGCATCTAGATTGTTCAAAAGTTTAAGGTTACCTCAGCGAGTTGTATGTACATGTAGTTGGTAAACCGTTACATATTTCAGTCAAGACTCAAGTTATTTCTGTGTTGTAGAGATTTATCACTTATGTAGTTGGCTGCCAATCAAATAGGTTGTTAGCCCCAACCCCATTCTACTCTACACAGCAGCGTTTTTTGTTCCTTATATAACTGGTACCGATAAACGGCACCGTTCCCAATGCCAAAAAACGTTAATTTTTCCCAATTCTGTGACTAAAAATTCCCAATTCAACTGTGATGCTACAGACTACGACAACATCATATTTCTTGTAAAATGAAACATTGTACAAGTTGACTAATTGATCACTTCCGCTTAAGGGGGGGCCTATGTCGTTCTATGTCAAAGCAGCGTTATGTGACGTCACAATAGCGACGTTTGTTTTTTTCCCTCTGACTTTTGCAACTGTGATTATAGGCTTAACATTTTTATTAATCAATAACATACACAGTTTACAAAAAGAAATTTTTTTCATCATTTATAACAGTTTTATTTGATTTATGGAGTTTGTTAATATTAGAATTCTCTTTCTTTGGTTGATAATTCATAGCAATTTTAGTTGTGAAGAAATACCTCCATGACATGCTGATATAAAAATGCAAAAAATTTAAGATAAAATTCAACAAAGACAGCGGCTTAAATCAGGGAAATATAATTTTATGATTACCATTAATTATATTTTCTGGATTAAACTAAGAAAAATTAAGAAATATACTTGTACCTATATTTTATTGATTTATAGTGTACATGTAGATTTTATTGAATAAAGTCATTCCTAGGTTCTATTAGGTGTTGGTTGTTGACGGGGAAGGGGGGGGGGGCAGAATGATTAGAATGAAGAAGAAAAGAGTTTATCTGTTTAAATTATTTCTTATCAAAATAAAATACTCGTTTTTTGCAAAATAGATTTATATTCAGATGTTTGTCAGTGCTAACTTTCCCTTTTTTAGTGCAGAAAGGTCAATATTTATGACAGAAGAGTACGAAAATAATAGAAAACGTCATATTTCTCGTTTATTATATCATAAAGGTATACTTTTTTCTTTGTTAAAATAAAGAGAGGGGTCATTTCTTTCAAAAAATATTAATTACAACATTTTCACACAAAGACTTTTTAAGATATTACCTGTTATGCATGTCGGAATTGTAAAAAATACGACAAGAAAAACGGGATGATACTTACATTGTGCTCCTTTATAATTTTTCATGCGAGATGAATTACAACGAATTTGCCTTCATTTTAAAGGTACAAGTCATAATTATAAATTAAATACATGTTGATTTTGAATGTGATTTGACATTTTTGGTTCTTTTTAGCGCATATTTGGAGTAGAACAAGAATGTCTGAAAATAATCTATTTTTAGCATTTCACACTGTTTTTGCATGTGCTCCTGTGTAAAAGTAAGCATATAAAGGTATTGTTTTAAATACCTAAAAATTAAAAGCAAGTGGTCAGGAAAGAAATGTCAAAGTTTTGAAAATTTCACACAAAGACTTTTCGGACATAGGTCCCCCCTTAAATCGAAAGTAGAGAAAGTCGTAATTTGGCGGGACATGTCGGTTAGACAGCCTAGTGTCATACATTTTGACAAATTGAAAGCATGAAAATGTGAAAACATGGGACATTGATATAAAAAACAATAAGTACTTGTTGCTTATTCCTTAAAACAAGGTGTAATAGGTAAATAATTTAGAATAAACGCAAAATACATAGCATTTGCATAAATGAGAGAAAATTCGCCTGTTTTTCTTCGATGTTATTTTTCCCAATTGAACCGGTATCGGACCCATTCCCAATTGGTGGAAAAAAATCGCTGGACACATTACACAAACCGGTATACATGCATTTCAGAAAGATGTTTGTTTCATGTTTAAGAGACTCACCTCTCAAGTAGCCAGCTGTCTGTGAATTCAGTTAGACCCCTATAAATTATTCTAGACTTAGGAATCTCACCTCTCATCATTAGTTGCCTGCCTCTTAAGTTGTTTACAGTTCGTGTTATGTCTTTATTGACTTGGTGTGCCACTGTGTTATACAGACTCACCTCTCATGTAGCTAGCAGCCTGCCCCCTGAGTTCTTTACAGTCGATACGATGTCCCCCATTATTGATTTGGTGAGCCACTGCGTTATACAGACAGTCCCCATCAGACGGAATCTCGGAGATCTGTAATCCTCTTTCCTTCAGTAACTCTTTCAGCCTCTGGTACTCCACGTTCCTAGCTCCTGTCTCGTTTTCTATTTCCTGACGTGATATCTCTTCCTGTCTCTGCCTCTCCATCTCCGTCTTTTTGTTCCGACGTTTCTGAGCTTTGGAAACCCTCTTAGGTTCCTGGAGAGACACGTCCTCAGATCCTTTCACATTCTCCAGGCTCAGATCATCTACCATTCCAGATATCTGCT